TTTTAATACATATAAATATATATAATACACGCTTTTTTTTTTTTACACATATCTCTATAAACTGGTTTTGGCTGGGATAGAGTTAATTTTCTTCATAGTAACTTGTATGGTGCTGTGTTTTAGATTTGTGATGAAAAGAGCGTTGATAAGGTAGGAATGCTTTGGTTATTGCTGAACAGCACTTCCACAGCATCAAGGCCTTCTCTGTTTCTCACTCTGCCCCCACAGTGGATACACTGGAGGGGTGGGGACACAACCGGGCAGATGACCTGAACTAACCAAAAAGCTATTTCATACCATATAACATCATGCTCAGCAATAAAAGGGAAAAGCGGGGGTTTTTAGGGGGGGTTAGCCATCTTTTACTTGGGAACCATCTGGGCATCAATCTACCCAGAGGAGGCGGTGAGTAATTGCCTTTGCATCACTTGTTTTGCTTTCTTCTCTCTCCTTCCACTTATCCTTCAATTACTAAACATTTTTGTTTTATCTTGACCTCCAAGTTTTCTTGGTTTTATTCTTCCTTTCCTCTTCCCCCGTCCCACTGGGGATGGAGGGGGGAAGTAAGCGAGCAGCTGTGTGGTGCTTAGCTGCCCACCAGGGTTAACCCACAACAATATGTATTTTGCCTACCTCAAACAATTTTTCAAATACAGTACTGCAGGATATAATTATGTGCTACAAATTATCAGAGAGAGGGGTAAAAATTATTTTCTGCTTGCTGTTTTATTGATTCAATTCCTGAAATTAGGAAACTTCAAGGTTAATTGCACTGTTTAAAAATTCATTTTAATTGAACGCATAACTACTGCAGTGAAATTGAAAACCACCAAATTTATACAGAGGAAAACAAAATAATGCATTCAAAGAGAAATGAAGCAGATGACATTCGCATCTACTATTGCAAGATTGTAGAGAGAAAAAAAGTAATTATTTTCTAGGCTGATGACCTCAATGAACTTACATTATTCTAGAGAGATGAAATTAGAATCTTTTTTACCTTGCCACAGTGAAATTATCTGGAGGCAAAAGCCGAGCAAGTTCAATAAAGATGTGATTAAGAGAAGCACAGAATCCACACCACTGTGCATAATAGAGCAGCAAGACATTCTGGAAAATGAAATGGAGAAGAGTTTGGTTATCTATTGTAGTTAATCTGCAGTAAAGGAGGATTAGTCTTCACAACATCTAAAACTTGGAACCCTTAAAATGTGAAAAGAAACTACATCCTAATGTTTATAAACTTTATTATAAGCTATTTACTGATGCCCTCTGTCTACTGAGTTAACACACGAAAACTCTTGGGGAATTCTCTTTCCATAAAGACAAAGACAAAATGAAGAGGATTGTTTAGTTTAGGATCATTTCGTTTAAGTGAAAATGCACCAAACTTTACTACACTTCGCAAGATTCTTTTGTAATCTTAAATTCCTATGTATCTAACACAGTGACTGTATACTTCATGGGGGCGTGGAACAAAAAAGGTGATGTCTAGACTTCTGCTTTTTGCCTCTAACTAGCAAAGCAGGAGTTAGGGCTGCTGGAAACAAATTACTGGAGAGGCATACATTCACTGCAGACCTGCAAGACAATGGGTATTAATCCTTACTATCACATATTTAAGAAACCAAAGTAATTTAACTACTGTCCAGGATGACATCTTACGTAAAACAATTTCATGGCATGCAATTGGAAAGCTTTTACCTGTGAGAGTTTTGGGGGTTTTGCTGTGTGCTTTCAAATAATGACTTAGGTTTAAAACCTTCTATTTGTGGGGTTTTTTTTTTTCATTATGTCTGCTTTGCAATAATTTTTAACTGTTTTAAAGAAAGTTTTTTAAAAAAATGTAAAACATAGAAAGAAGTTGTGGTATATTTATTTCCTTTGAGGTATGAAACACAGAAATCTTAATATTCTTCAACGTTACCTCAAACCCTATGTATTTAGCATGTGCTCCTGCTACAGCGGAAGAAAGGAAAAGGAAAAAAATCAAGTCAATGACACTTTTTTGGTTTTTTTTTTTTAATTAAAATCTGTATTTCAAACACACAGGAAAAAAACCATACCTCCTCCCCCCAAAAAAACACCAAAAAACAACACCCAAAAACCCAACAAACCTTGAACTGTGGCAGAAACCTGCCAGGGAATCAGTTGCACTGACTTTTTGATTATTTTAACACCAGAAGATGATCTCTTGCAGATTTACTTAAGATCACACTATTCTAAATTGCCTTCTTTTAAAGAAAACTTTTGAGTTGTTACAAAATAGGTTATTTTATGTCACAAATAAGCAAAGCACATCAATGTAAAAAAAAAAATGAGACCCCCTCTTCAAAAGTCTGAGCAATGATTTGCAAGAAACTTTTTCAGTAATGAGGTACCTTTTCACTCAGAAACACGGTATCATGAAAGGTATTAGTAGTCACTTCAGTGATTACACGCTGTTCATGAAAATGGACTGAAGGGTCATCAACAAGATGCCTTTTCAAGGGACTGTAGAGAATACTGAAATTTTTTATGAAGTTCTCTGAAATGAAATTGATACATAACAAAGTTATTTCAGTTTCACAAATATGTGATTTTGGCAGTTTTTACCTTGAAATTCAGAAGAACTTACAGAGAAAATACAAATTCAAACCTGGTTTCATGTCATTAATTTTTGACAGTTTGGTATCAACTCTTGGGTAACTACCACTGATGAAAAAACAGAATAAAATTTCACTGTTTTTTTGTTTTGCTCATTACAGTCGTCTTTTCACTTGCCACACTACTCTCTAATCTTGCTTCTACTCCTATTCCATGTACTATAATAATAACTCTCTACCCTCCTAATCTAACCACACACCTGGTAAGTCATAAATAGTATCCTCTCACCGTTTTTCACTGTCTACATAGCATTAAGTATTTGGCCCTTATCTTGAAGGCTCCACTTAATTCCACATTCATTTGCATTTATTCTTTCATTTTTAATTACTTTCCCTGTATTTCTCCTTTTGCTTTAGACCTTTAAAGACTGTGCTATTCCCATGCCAATGTGACCAGCCACCTTTTGTTTCCCAGTGACCACCTTCCTCTTCATTCAACTTTCTCCTTAGTTTTAAGATATTTAACAAGTAGCTGGCTAGTGGTAAAAATTTAAAACAAACTCCAAAGGCCTCAACTACCTTCAGCTACACTACTCTGAGCCTGGAGCATGTTCTCTAAATTGCTGCAAGATATCAACTGTATCCTTCTTTTCAATTTAGATAAATATTATTCTATGCATTATAAAATAAGAGTATTCAATAATCAAGACAAAAGATATATCAAACACATTAAAAATAATTATTTGATCAAATAGAAACATCTTGTGCTGGTATTTTCAGTCCAAAAACTAGGCCCAAGTAAAACTGGCACTTTTGTACATACATACAAAATACCAGACCATCAAGTTTATCTCTGAAATGCAAACAGCAGTACATTTAATTTTGTATTTACTATTCAGCATTTCATTAAATTCTCACACCAGACCAAAACAGTTTTTTTCTTTCTAGATCTCCAGATTTGGAATATCTATGCATGATTAAGTAGTAACTGAAAGGAGGGGGCTAATTAAAACACATTGCCTGCATTTTCAGAAACCATCTGTAAAAACTGAAATCTGTTAAAGGTATTAAACACAGATCTGTTTTGTTATTTTAAAATATCAAAAGTTAAGAGGCTTAAGGAAGTAAAATAAAAAAAAAAACCCAACACAAAACCCAAACATAAATCACAGTGACTCCTTGACAAAATACGTAGAAGCAAAAAATTTTCTGGAAGTTCAAATGACTTGGAATAGAAATATACTGAGTGTTACTCAGCAGAGAAACCCTCATCATGCTCAGGAAATCCTGTGACCTGAAAAAAGTTGACACAGAAAGTACTGGGAGCAGAAAGGGGAAGGAAATTTCTATCCCCTCACTCTTATCTTAATTTTTCCTAAGCATCCTTTTATGGTCACTGGGGTTTTTGTTTGCCAGAGTGTTTTTCTGGGGGGTTGGGATGGAGACAGGATACAGGGCTGGATGGGATCCTTAATAAGAACATGGCTATTTGTTCTATGTTGTGCATACTTTTGTACTCACAGATTTATGGCAAAATGGAAATGTAATTAATGCTATAAGAATTATATTGATATACCTTCTTGAACAATTTATTTTAATACTATGTTCACCTGAATTCCCTTCTATGTTTACTTACACTGCTAACATTAAAAAACATGGCATTTTCTGAAGGCAGACTCAGTTTTGCGCATCATGATAGGTAAATGCATGTGATTAGGCATGTTGTGTCTTATTCAATAACTTGCAAATAAATTAGAACTGCGACTGTTGGGTTGGTTAGTTTTTTTGTTTGGTTTGGTTTTGGTTTTTCTCCTCCAATTCAGCCAGGAAATACAGTATTGACAGATTTGGCCAAAACCAGTTCAGAGCTCTACCTTGAAAACACACATACTTTTCAAAATAAATTTAAAACAATTTATAAGATGGTTTCAGAGGACAAGAGGAAAGGCTAGACTCTGCTGATAAGTGGGCAGTATCTCACGAAATTCTGGGATATTTTAGTACACAGAACAGCTGAGCAAATACCAACACCACCATTAACATACAAATGTCTTCTGTAATATCAAATGTGTTAGATGCATAGTAATTTTTTTTTTCCAGAAGCATATTAGTTTACATTTTACCAATCCTTCAATGCATCAGGCAGTCAAGAATCATACGTTTTGAGGTTCACTTCTTTTAAAGCAAATTACTTTTGGTATCTACAACACGATTCTACTGCTTGGTTAACTACTAAATAAATTAGAATAGAATAAATTACGATTCATGTTGACTTTAGCTTCACTTTTCAAAATGGCATTAAGTTTTCCATTCATAAGCTTATTTGCAAAATTAATTTTCTTATTTCAAGCATTTGCATAGTGGATACCATACCCAGGGTAGATCCAACAAGTGACTGATTTTGATCCAGGACATAGTGCACTTCTTCTTTCAGGTCAACAATGGCGGCAAATTCCTTAAGATGAGTAGATCTTGATGCTCCTAGTCTCTCTGCATATATCCAAAAAAGATTTGAATCTAGTAGATAGAGATTCAAGGTTTTGTTGGTCCTGCAGCTCAGACCAGTAATGTTAGTGCCACTAATACAAAGGTCAGGAATAAAACAATTCCTATCCTCAATGTGAGGAATAGAATGTTGGGTGTTATCTTTCTTCCCATGGGAAGAAAATGCTACTTTGGGGGTCTCAAAGATGGTCTTCTCAGAACTAATGAAACTTAAAAAATGTCTGTTTACCGTCCTGCAACATGCAGTGTAATAGCTAAAAGGACTATAGAAACTTAAGAAATTGCTGCATTCTATGGTATTTGATATAACTTGAAAAAAGGTATGTTCCTGGAGGTAGAAAGAGTCCAAAGCTGCTTCTATCTCTAAAAAGTTACAGTATGGCACATGGACTTTATTTGGTTTGACACCAAGCGTCTGGTTAATGCAAAGCTCACAGACATTGTGAGTTCTAGATATTGAATGCCACTGCGGAAGCACCACCGTGTTACAGCATGGGTACTTGGTTATTGAAAATGTTTCTGATAATTTCATATGTGCATCTGGTACAGAGGAATCAAAAGCTGGTGAACCAGTGTCTCCTAAGTGTTGAAGATCTGGCTCAGCTGCCTGGCTTTTATTACAGTTGTGGTATTCCAAGGCCACTTTGGTAATCTACAGGGGAGGAAAAAAGAAAAAAAGAAAAAAAAAAGCAAGATTAACTGTACGTAGTTCACTCAAATGCAGTTATCTGTTGCAGGTTTAACAACATATGTAATTAAGAGATGGAATTTCAGAAACATGAAGTTGATTACTCTTCTCCTTCATTCTTACAAAAAATTATAGGAGGGTCTGACTTGATAACAAAGTTAAATTTTCAGATATTTCAGCATGTAAGAATTAAATGTACAGAACAACAAAAAGCCACTTTAAAAATTTTTCAGTCCACTACACTGATCTCAAGGTCCTCTTTGCTTCGTATTTATCACGGTGCAATAAAACTACATTTTGAGGTTAAATCCCACTACATGAAGCATTAATCAGTACAGGCTCCTGAATTTCCCTTATCTTCCAATATAAGGAGAAAATAAATAAAAGCATTCCCATATGAAGAAGGAATAAAGATTTTTCCTGGTATAGGTGGTGCACAAATTTTGTAGCAATCACTAACAGTGCTGAAGTAACGTTAGTATTCTCCCAGCCGTGGGCATATAGTTGTAATACTGCAGGTGTACTTTGCATATAGTAACGCCTGACTTATTGGGAGAAGAAAGAAAAAGGGAAAAAAGAAAAAAGCCTGCCTCTCAGTGCAAACATTCCTGTGCTGCATCACCATTTTGTTTTTCATAACCAAGGGGAAACAAGCAGCAAAAAAGGCATGTGTATGGACCACAGAAGGAATTCCCTTTCTAGGAGATAAATAACAGAACATACAAGAAAGGAAAGTGAAAGAGGAAGTTTCCCTTCATCCTTATCTATCACATTAAACGTAATCAAAATACAGAACATACACACATTGCTTACACAAGAATACTTTGATAGGAATCATTATAATTATCAAAGGGATGTTGAAGCGTCACATCTAGAAGGGGTGCTGTGTCACATGACCATCAGTATTAAGATGTGGTCTACAGCAACGTACAGTCTTTAAGAATTCATTGTTAGATGTTTTCATCCTGAAAACGCTCAATTAAATACTTAAAAGAAACTTGATCCTTCATACTATAATCTAGCCTGAAGATTTTGGCTACCTACATAGAGAAACATGAGAAGAAATTATGAACAGAAAACCAGATTTGTGATACGAAAACTCATTTCAGTGAGCTACTATCAGAAAATAAAAGTTGCTCCAAGAGCTTTCAACATACAACTTGACAGCCTTGTTCTTTGCAACTGCCTTACAGTCAAGTGGTTTCATTGCTTGATGAAACCCACAGGACAGCTGCAGTAAACATCTCTTCCTATGGCAAACAAGTTGCATAATATCTATCAAAGTGAAGCTATACAAGATCAACTGGAATATTTTGTATCTCATTTCAAATTTTGATATAGATAAATACTGTTCTTTAGCAGAATGAAATCTGAAATGGAACATCTTATGTTGCACTGATTTGATCTCAGTAAGTGGTACCTGTTACTAGAACGTTTAACCTGACAAGCATCTCTGAATTAAGTCTGCCAAAAATAAGACAGGTTAGTACAAGAATAACCGCAGTTCTTTTCCAGACTTTCCGCAAAGATTTCCCCAACCCTATCCTGTAGGTTTTATTGTCTATCCTAACTTTTATTGTCTATTTCTAGTTTGGCTAAATATTGTATCGTAAGTTATTTTCACTTTTTTCCTCATTGCTTCAGACAGTGCAATATTAATTAGGCCTCCTTGTGGAAACCACACATTCCAGGACATAGATGCCATGTATGTAAGTCAGCATTGCCCCCAAAACTTAGCCCTGCTTTTCATCTTCCACAGATCCTTGTTTCTTGTTTCACACTGTCCTTAGTGCTATGCGATCACCACTGTGATGTGCAGCTGTGATATATTAAATGGGACAATGGATTACAGTTGAAAAATAGCCCAGGGGAAAAAAAAAAAAATTTTCAGCCAAGTTAGTTTCCCTATCTCATTTACTGCACAGCTACACAAACTCCTGTCCTAGGCAGTTCAGAAATGGAAATAATGGCAGAGGAAGAGAAATTTGAAAGGCAACTAAGGAATGCACAGGATATAAAAATCAGATTAGTTCTGAGTAGTTTTTCAATTGGGCTATATTTCAAATAACACTGTCTAGTTTAATAAAAGGTCCATTCTTCCTTGCGCAATCACCTCTGGAAAGATGGAAGGAGAGAAGAAACAGAATGGGGTGGACAAAACACAAGTCCTGCAATATGCAATACATTCTTGCTCTTTCATTTGAGCTATTGCAGCTGGAACAGAAGACCAAAGATCTGCATCTCACACAGCACTCACCACAAAAAGAAGGAAGTCAAGGAAAGAGTTAGGTGCTTGTTCTAAACAACTGTTGACATGAGACAAAGGCATTTTGTGTGGGATGCAAACCAGCGTAAGGGAGTTGTGATAATATGGCTTGAGGAAATGTGTTTTTAAACAAAATTGAATACTTGGAACATAAAATGAGATATCTGTCACAATTAAGCTCAGAACCCTGACTAGAGTTCTCAAGTTCTAGTATTTTTGAAGTTAAAAAAATAATTATTTCACTTACTTCATCTAAAAGAGGATGAATTTCTGCTAAGGGATTGTAAGGTATAAATATGAGAAGTGCTGGTCCTTTCTTCAGCTCATTGTTTAGAAGAAGGCTTTTTCCACCATGTGGTCTCAGCCAGCGTATGAGCATCTCTCGATTTTCTAGAGCCCACTTGCAAATGTTCTCAGCAGTATAGTTCATGACATCATTTGGATAGATCTTGAAGGGGGAAAAACCAATTATTTGTCCTCACACGGTTTAGCAATGAACACAGTTCTCAAATATGGCATGCTTTGTTACTGTAATGCCTAAAACTCTCTTTCTAAATTTAATTACACTATTCAGCGAGCTTCAGTGTTTCATATACCCTTTCCTTTTGGGATATCTTTCCAAATGCTCATCAGATCATAGTAACACACACAATCTTTCAGACAAAAAGTATTCTACCAGGGAAGCTCCTCTTTCTTTTTCTACAACTTTTTAATCTTTACTTTTCTCATTAGTATAAATTTTCTTTCTAAGTGAAAGAGCTCAGTCTCTAAGTTGGTATCATCACATATCTTGATTTACAGCATATTAGAAAACTTTTTACCACTACTCATTCACCATATTAACTCATTTTATATTAGTCTTTTAAGACCCCAACATCAAGACTGCATTTAAAACTGGTACTTCTTATTACTGAATGCAGGGAAAAGAAATGCACAGTAAAAAGCACTCACAGCTTCTAGGGTCATTTTAATAAATTAAGGCAAGTCTATCCTAAATAATTTGCACAGACAAAAGTAGTTTTATGTATTTACCGGTAATTTAACCTGAAAAAAAATCCATGTTTTCCCTAGTCTCAATTTAATAAAATACACGTTACAATACTTATCTTCATAGAGTTTCCACTCACGGTAGCAGTGTGGACAGATAAGGTCTCTATGCCAAATAGCAAATTTGAAAGTTAGTATTTTCAGTGTGTCTTCAAAAAAATGAGGCACGTGGATTAAGAGTTACTATAAACTTTCAATTAATTTGCATGATTTTTCTAATCAGTGTAATGTCATACCTTTAAACTGAAATCCAAGTCTTCACTATTCCTACTATCTCTCCACAAAATCTCTTTGTCTATATCCTCATTCAAGTAGGTCTCTAATTCTGACCCACTGAAAGAGGTAGAAACTTTAAGAAAAACAGTTTGTGTAGTCATTTCTGAGGTGCTTTGTTTTTTTGGGTTTTGTTTTGACAGAGACGATCAACTTGGGTCTTAGCTACTATTTAGAACAGCTGCTGACTGGTAGAATGAAAATGTGTATTACTGTACAAAAATATCGTCCTTAAACATCCTGTATCCTAAAGCTCCGTGAAACACTTATTCATGGTCTACTACGACAGAGCTTCAATCTCCATGTACTGTCTCAGAGTCACTACAACATAAATACAATACTCACAAGAGATGTGTTGACATGTCTGTGCAAATACACGCTGCCTGAATGCACCAATGAGATCTCCTCTGCAACACGTTTATCTGTGATCACTCCGAAGCGTATTGTTCCAAGGTAATCTGAAAGGGCAAATTTTCAGTTTTTAAACACAATTATACACACCAAACTTCTTTCCTGAAAGCCTTAGAACACCTTCAAACCAGAACACCAAACATTGCTGTGTAAAGGCACAGAAATCTTACTGAATAGCAACTGCCAATATTGGTGATTAAGGGAGGTAGAAGAAAGATGACAAGAGCAGGCAACAACAAACGTGTTCCTCTTCTGCACTCAAGGTATAGAGAATGTTAACCTGAATTGTCCAAATTCTTGATTTGTTTATTAAATATAGAATCTGGTATCATGGATGCACCTTGCTATGTGTTATGGCATCTCAAAAGCCAAGACGAGATATACATATAAGGAAAATGTACGAACATTGACTGTTTAGATGATGTACATTTAAATATATATTGTTTAAGTAAGTATTTCTATATTTATAAATATGTACACACAAGGATAGAAGGCTTCTCATCTTTATGTTGCAAAGAACCATCCCAACATATAAATGGGGAAATTACAGAACAAAATATAGGAGAACAGGCTCTGTATCATATACGAAGTCAGTGGCACAGTAAAAATCAGAATAATGGTATTAATTTCCTTCATTTGCTGACAGGAAGAAATAGCCATAAAATGTGCTAATCTTAACTTTCTTAAAGTTACATCCAGAATTTGAGACCCAAAAAAAGGTATCAATCATTTACAAAGTTTGCATATTTAAACGCAAGAGTTTTTGTATTTTAGATTGTTAATGCAAAACAACAGGGGGAGAAAGCCCTTCTCTTCATGCTCTTCTTGTACCAGCTCTGTAACTCCATCCAAGAAAGCACTTTGTTGAATTCAGTTACTAAGTACTGACAAAGTCAAGTTCATCCTGATGCCACTGAACCTGACATTTCAAATGTTGCACAAGACAAACACTCTTGGATTCAACTTAAATAAGAGCTAGTCTGATTATGGCTTTATATGGGTTGCAGCTACACATTTAGGTTTTTGAGGAAACTGTATCTTAATGTATCCTTGAATAGCAGCCTGTCATATACTTTATTCCATGATGGCTGATCACATAATAAGCCTTTTATGTAAGCAATCCTCGCACTGTAATAAAAGACAGTCTCATAATTAGATCAACATCAAGAAACACTCAAAAGGGATTAACTCCCAAGTTACAAAATATTGCAAAAAACTACTAAAGCCTATATATATAATTCATTCACAGATGCCTTAAATTATGAAAATGAAGCTTTTACCTTTCTTTAATGAATGTAATGCTGACGTGAAGAATGTTAAATAACCAGGCGGTTGAGGTGAAGCATTGAACTCAAAATATCCTAGAACTCCAGGCTGAAATAATAAGAATTAGAGTTAGTTAAGCTATTTTCAAGTGTAAATATATGGGGCACAGCAATTATTTGCCTACAGTAAAACACAACAGATTTTAAAAAGACGTTTACTGAAGAACAATCACTTTACGCTGCAAGAAAAATTTTAATATTAAAAGACTGAATGGAAATCAGTTCTACAGTTGTCATTCAAAAGCTATGTATGAGAGGGGGTTTTTATGGCTGTAGATGGATAAGTTTCAAACTGCGTATTTCCCATGCTAGCTATTAAAATTCACTAAAACCCATTAATTTTTGCTTTGCAACTATTTATGAGCCAGTTCCAGCACCAACGTAAGAATCATAAGCATCATAAAGACTTCTTTTAGAATTGGAATATCAAATATGATTTTTCAGAGTATAAACAACAGTAACCCTTTAATTGTTCACTGTGTTGCCCATAATTAGCAACTATATATGAATTCACACATTTTGTGCATGAATACTTGATCTGCTAAGCCAGCTTATCATCCCATCATTAAGCTATCAGTCACTGTAAATTCTTTCAGTATATCCTGCAGGAGTCCGTGAGAGACCAGCTGCACAAAAAATAACGGAAGAGTCCCATATCCCACCTGCATATCCATAAAGTTCTTCAAATTGCCAAACAGACAATTCAAAATTTAAAAGACTCATCCCTAAATAGGCCTATTGACTTTGCCAGGTATGAAGCCTGAATAGCTTCCTATTAAATTCAGGAAGAGAATCTGGGAGAAGCTGACTTGGAACAGAGAGGTGCGTAGTCTTTAGACTTCTCTTGTTCCACAATTTCAATTAAGTTTTGGTTTTAAATTTTGCAAGATATAATCCATTAAACATTATTATTAATTATGTTTTTTAACACATTACTCAAATTGGCTCAAAAATCTTTCAGGACAGAGGAAGTGATGGAATTTGGTTATTTTGTGTTATTTGTTTCCCAGTCCCACCAGTGCACACAGAAAGAGCATTTGATACACAAAGCAAGAGCACTCTAGGGATTGCCATGGAACAAAAGCTTCCAGACTCACCGATCACCCATTTGTGTGTCAGATATATTCCCACATAGGTATTTTCATTTGGTATTTCGGAGGCTGCTTTCTTTTTTTGTGGCGTTTTACAAATAAAATTTGTAATTTCTTTTTAAAACATGAACATATATTTTACCTGTTACTGTCATTAGTGATATGAATTCAGTTATCCATACCAGCCATATGAATTGAGCTAATTCAGTGTGAATTAGCGATCTCAGGATGTTCACCAATAACAACATTGCCCATTCCAACTAATGACCTGCTCTTTTTAGGCAGGAATTATCTTTCATGAATGAATGCTAAACACAAGACCTTTGTTCATAAAGATTCCTTATGAGGTACCCCAAGAAAATTATCAATAATAAAAATGAGATACAAGCAATTAGTGAATTTTCTGTGATAACAATTGTCAAGAAGGAAATAAAAATATAAATAAAATAGAAGTGAAAAAATACAGCAAAATAATACATTATTCTTTTTTAAACAATAAACAGGTTAGTAATGAGTGTTCATCTTTTTCTCCTAGTACCAAATTAAGACAGTAAAAAGAAACAATCCCTTATAAAAAACTTTTAAAACATTCAAGTGAACCAAAATAAGTTTCCCATTTATCGAAATTTTAGTTTCCCCTTTCCTAGGACCATTTTTCAGTACCATTACTATAGGAAGCGAACTTAGAGCACCAAATAGTGAATGAAAGAGTAGTCAAAAGTGACAGCAAAATGTGACAAGAAGCCAAAAGTCAGATCTAGAAATATTTATAAAAGTTATTTTAAAAGGTGCTGTTCTGACTGCCAGTTCTGTTGTACACTAATAGCAGCTTAAGACTTCCAGACTGTGAGGAGTAAGATGTTTCCATGAGACATTTTTGGAAAGTGTTTTTTCAGTAAGAAAAAATTGTAGTGGGAGAATACATACTAATGCTATATACCTAATCAGTAATCTGGTTAATTAATGTCCTTTTAATGATCATCCTAGAATAGTTAAAATTTCCTCCCTGTTACAGGCTGCAATTATACATACGAGAAAAGTGTCTAAAATACTGTATTTCTTCTCAAGTACCATGCAAATTTTCCTGTTTTGTCAGAATGAAGAGATTCACTTGCTAATACCAACTACTCCGTTCATTTTGACAAAATAAAACACTTCCAGGTGCTAGCAACTAACAAGGAATCTTGCTCCGTACAAGTGAGATTCAAGTCTTGCAGAAGAGGTATCTTGAAGTAAATAAGAGGTTCCTAGTTTTGAATACAGGTATGCTAAGAGCAGCTTGATGGCAGCATCTCCCACTTCCTTTCACGTAAGAACCTCCAAAGCAATCAATAACTGGTGCAGCAACAGCGCCCTGCATACAGTTTATATGGGCATCTACACACAAGCTGTTATTGATGATCAGCTGCTTCCAGGCAACCATCTGTGTGGAGTTATGATTAACTATCTTCACGGAGGCAGTTAGGAATAATCAGTTGAACAGGATATGACTTGCTGCTATATAAAATTGGACGATAAAATATCGGAATGTGACATAGGGAGGGTTTAAAGACACCGCATTAGGAGCGTTGGTGTTGCTAGAGTGGAGCTTACTGGAACTTTTCTTTCTGTGAAACAATTTTCAGCACCTGTCTCAAACCGAGTGTCTGTAGGAAAGATTTTGGAACAAACCTGAGGACGTCAATAGTGAAAAGTCATTAGTACCACCTCCTAATGAAACTCATATATGGAAATACAAAATCATTAATTGTAGTGTAGCTTATTTCTTGCTTCTCCTTATTTCTTATTTCTCCTCTCTACACCAGAGGAATGGAAAGGGATGCGTGATGCCAATTAAATCAAACAAATAACAGACTTGACAAGAATCTCAACAATTACGGAACACCAAGTTCATAGAAACTTTAAGAATTAACAGAGATCTTCAGGTGTGTAATTTTTATTGGAGAACAGTCAGCATGGTTTTATTACTGAACCATGCCTCAAGTCTATCACAGCTCCGTGAAGGAATAAGCAAGCGTGTAGATGATCAATCTACTCAATGCAGCATACTGTAATTCCCCAAAAGAAGTTACCAAACACACTGGAAGAAACTAAGGTCATAAGGAATAACGTGGAAGGTCCTTTTCTACATTAGTAGAAAAGACAGAAAACTACAGGTAGAAGTTACTGTTTTTCCACAGTCAAAGACAGCCAGCCAGGATGTGTACTGATGCTCATATAGTTCAACATCTCTATAAACACTTTAGAAAAGGGAGAGAACGGTGAGGAACAAAATTAGCAAAGGTTATTGGGAATCACTGAAACTACAGCTGACTCAGAAGAGTTGCAGAAAGACAGTATTAAATGACTATGCGATGAAAGAGCTCTGAACTTTAAAGGGCAATAAATGTGAAGTAATGGGAACAGAGAACAGAAAAAAACCCACAGCTACTGATTAGCTTTTACAGCTAGAGAAACGCTTTTACTACTCAATTAAGTTATTTCTATCCCAATTTGTATTTATTTATTACTATGTTTTGGCTATTATTGCACTGAGGTAAGGGAGATGGTATTTTTTGTCAGAATTTCAGACTTGTGCAGGCAGGCAATTTGTTTTGTCTGCGAACGCAGGAAAGAAAACGGCAAGAGGAAAGGAATGTGTTATCTCTGGGGAACAGAATAACCAATATTACATACCACTAATTCTACACTGTAGAAATGCAAAGAAACTGTTGATTGATATTAGATTAATAAAATTTACAAGTAAAAGTCTGTTCATTTTCTAATGATGTTAAAAACATTGTGTATCCAGAACTGAAAGCAAATTCTCACATCATCATTTAACATAGGCACCACAGTACTCCACACAAGAGCAAGCTATTAAGTCAAATCCACTTCTGGGTCAGATCCTACACAGCTGGTTAACGCTTAGGAAGCATTTCTGCACAAATAGAGCAAAGAAGAAAGCTGACATCATGTTAAGGCACACGCCGGCTACCTCCCAGAGAGACCAACTCCTCCCCCACCTCTCCCAAAGCCAGAAAATGATGAGCTCCCTGGGCACATTTAATTTTCATAAGTGAATGAAGCTTTTTGTCTAACTACAGAAGCTGCATGTTTTCTTCCTCTGTGCCTCAGAAGGATGAGGCCATTTCTAGTAGCTGGGTTAGTCAGATGAGGAATGGGACATGCCAGTTTGGATTAAAATGAAACTGTTACATCTCTGCAGTTAAGAAAACAAAAGAAGTCTGATTATAGGTACTTAAAGGTACCTGGAGTTATGGTAGGAACGGCGTATCTTTCTCCTGATGTAACTTAGATCTTCCTATAAGTTCCAAGATTTTAACTGCTTTCCAAATCGGATTTTTTCCTTGATCTCAAAAATTAAATTCTAATTCTTATCCAGTTCTAGTTTTGCACTAAGTATCATTCCACAACCACAAAAAAACCTTAAATAGTATCAGAAAATGCAGAATCTCAACTTTCGAGTCTTCAACCAGAATTTTTTTCACGGGGTTTGAGCGCCCTCTTGTGAGATCAATGCAGCATCTCAGGATATTCATGATTTGGTTGAGGAATGGACGTAACACCATGTAACTAACACCTCTTGCTCTTACATTTAGCTGGATTCTGTTCATCAGTATTTCTTAGAAATAAAAACATGCTAATTAACATTTGAATACAAGATAAAATACCGCTAGATTTCAGTATCTCTTGGTGTGGTTCAACTTACAAAAAATGTTTTGAATTTCTCTTGGTACCTTTACTGTACTTGTTAGTTCAGTCATGCTAACATTTAATGGATTTTGATATTCAATTGAGCGTGGGTAGAGCTCCTAGTTTTCTTTGCTAGATGCTTTTTCTGTCAAAAGCTGGCTACTGGAATTTGAACACAAGATTAAAGCACCAAAGCCTTCACAGATTAGATGGAGAAGGACAACTACGAGCTTGAAGTCCTGGCTATCAGTAAATTGACAGGCAACAACAAAATGCCCTTGAAACAAGAAAAGAAGGGTGCAGTAGCTCTTTTAAGTGTGAAAATACACGCTGAGCAGAACTTCAGCCCTGCACATGAATCACTCATCTACTAATGACTTACCAACCTACTGCATACTCCAGATTATACATAGTGCTATCCTTGGACAGAAAAACAAAAGAACGAGGACCGAAGGTGAGTGACAGGCAACTGCTCTGCGACCTACTGCTTCCTTAATATGGGAGACCTTAATACCAAAGTAGAATGAAACAGTCAAGGAACAGAACGGGCACTGCCTAACTGCAGTCTGGGGATCAGCTACAAAGAGGTTCTCTTCAACAGAAATTTTCAAGTCAAAAATAAATACCCCTAACATAAGCTTGCAAAACCCATTCCCCAGCAGAAGACAGGACTGAATTAGATACTGATGATGACAAATCTTTCAGAAAATATTCTGAGCTTCAAATTAATTAGCTTTTCAAAGAAGAAATCACAAAAACCTCATCAAGCAGCAGACAGTGGTCAAAATGCCCAATGATCTATTCTTTACAGTCTTCTCTCCTTTCCCTTCTGCTAAAAATTAACATTTTTACTATATAAAAGACCAAAAATCAAAGGAATACACTAGCCAAGGCTCTCAAAATAGCAATTAGTTTGTGTCATACCTGCCCTTCCTGTAACCTACTCTATTCCTCAAAGTTTCTCACTTCTTAAACACAGGAGTCACCTCCTGGATTGTATCTTCTCCTACAAAAGGTATAAAATTCCTCGACTTTGATGGAAAACAGCAGAAAATATTCACATTTCTAACTGTTTAAAATGATGAAACAACGTGTTTATTTCTGGTTTAAAACTAACTTTTCCTTTCTGCCTATGTTTCCCTCTCCATCCATCTTCATATACAATTCTCTATTTCTTAGGTCTTCTCTGTATCCCAGCTCCTGATCACTCAGCATTTGTTTTTCTTATTGCACTCACCTGGACTTGCACTAGCCAATGCCCTGTTCCCTGAATGGATCTTACTGCATGAGTCGGCTCAGGCAAGAGACTGAGCACCTAGTGCCACGGTCTGGGAAATAACCTCAGCCTTAAATGACCACGGGGCAGCATGACAGAGCAGACTCTATTCTTAGTCCATTTCAGAAAAAAGAACCAACAATCACTGAACATAAACAGAGATCGGGCATTTGGAGCCACAGAATTTGAAGCACAGGAAGGGGGGAAGTTTGAACATAGAAATAAAAAAATCCATTCAATTGCTAAGCAGTATTTAAAAAAATATTTTCTGGTTCCCCCATGAATGTGTCTTTTATCTTAGCCTTTTTCCAATGGAAGTGCACCTCCTACTGTAAAGCAAATTTAAGCTTAATGACACTATGCTTATTAGTTACTTTTTGCAGACTACCAAGAAATAATTCACACAACACAGAGCAAAAACCAAGCATGGCTGTTTTCAAATCTCTAAATGAGGAAAAAAACCAACAAAGTTTTAGAATGGCAAAACTGAAGCAGTGAAAGGACAACAGAATTGCTTGTGATCACAGAAAGTATCAGCATCAGAGACAGACACACAGCTCCATACTCATGACTCTCAGTCCCCGCTTAAAACACTGGAAAACTAAACCCATGAATAGCTCCTGAGGGATAAACTGAAGTGTGAACACTGCAGCACCTACCCATGGTAACTACCCCTGTGCGTCCCCTTATGCTGTGGCAGCTTTCATTTAACAGCACAGGTTGTGCTCCATCCTGCAGCAGACCCAGTCATTAGAGCATGAGCTAATTCTAAGGGGAACTCTGCTTCATTCTGAAACACTGGAAAGCCCCTTGCATGTTTTGGCCACTACTACAATATCAATTTGTTGATCATGTTTTCCATTCTGCTCTAATAGCTTGGGGTTTAGTAAGCTTATGGTATTTCTCCATTGTGCGCTACAGAAATGAACAGTTATAAAGGGATTATAAATGGTTCTGTTCTAAGCACATTTTGTCTAATTGGAAGTTATTAATCCACTACCATTGCTACCAATCTTGGCACCTCTGAACACAACAGACCGAAAATTAGTAACACACAATGTCCCAGGGGATTAAAATCATGAAGTTACAGCATACAAAGTGGTTAGGAGCCGTTATTTCAACTGATTTCACATTTGTTTTTACTTAACAGACTTATCTTATTAGAAAGGTTTAATATTCCTTTAAAAATTAAAGCAATGATTACATATTTCTCAAATGCTTTCCCAACTTAGACTGCAAGACTTCTGCGAAAAGATTTCTCCCTTCTTTCTTGTTCACATGTAATTTTTTGATGAAGTAACAACTTTGATTGTTGCCTCTACATACTAAAGTACTGTAAATTAAGAGCATCACTAAATCGTAAGAGTCACTATACAGGGAACCAACATTATGAATTCGTCATTTCATATTTTTATGATTTTATCAAATTTACAGGGCACTGATTTCAGGATCCTGGAAATAAACTAGTACTTTGGAGCAGATCATATTTAATCGTGAAACAAGTCAAACTCTTTCTGAACCACAGTGGTAAAGCTAGAGAAGAGAGACAAGTACCTCATAATTTGAGAGGAAATCTAGTAATTTTGATCGAGACGAGATGTAGAGTAGTGGTGTCATCACCCGGCGAACAAACTTTTCAATATAAACAGCACTCATAGGGCCTTTGTATTCAATTGGTCCAAAACTAGTACCAAAAAAAATAATAAAACATTAAGACTTAAATTAACAATAGAGAGAGTCCCTCCTGGGGTGGCAGAGAGAGGAGTTACACAGACAGCACGCTCAGCCTCTAGGGAATTGCTCTCTGTGTTAATTAACAGTGGCTTCTGTAACTGATAGAGGAGTTGTGTTACCAGACTTGAAGTAAAGCGCAGAAATTGCAGTGACTCTAATGCAGTGTCTATGGGTAGGTGCAGTGTGTTGGCGAAGGGACGAAGGGATGGAGACCACCTCTGAGTCCCATTAAAGAAGTTGGTAAAATGCAGGTATGAATTATATGATCATATACTTATCTTTCTGCTTTGTTCAAAGTAAATACATGTGACTTAAAAATACAGATTTGAGAAATGTCACTATTTTCACTTGATTTTCTAAAATCTTTAGAAAGTTCAAACAGTATCAATCTGAAAAGGTGCAACATTTTTACATAGGCTTTTACAAGTAGCACTCAATAAAGCAGAGACGAATCCAGTCACACTGCTGATGAACAGACCCAGTGAGTCTACAGTTCCTCCCCCAGCCATCTGATAAAATAGCTCACACTACATTAGGTAGTGCTAAAACAGAAGGTGGGCCGGGCCTTGTGGCTATGATTTCCAGAGCGTCTCCTTCATCCCCTTGAAATCCTGCATCTGATTTATTATCATTAGGTTGGACAAAGCATCACAGTCCAAAATTAAATCAAACACAAAAAGCATGAGGAATCAGTCCATTCCCACTGAAAAATTTAATGTGATGCATTTTTTAATATAGTTTATACATACAGACACTCTGAAAAATATCAAACTCGCACGGAGATACCTATATTCCAATGCTTTGAAATGGTCTTCTAGAGCCCAAGAGATTATTTTACGTCCTACACTGGTTTCTTACAAACCTTTCTCTGAACAGCAACATGCACTGCTTCAACATGACACATGCCCAGTACGCAACATTAGAGGTTTAATATCTCAGGCATGAGGGGTGCATTGCCCTTTGGGGTTTTTATGAAGTATCAATATGAATTTACATCTCATCTTGTTGCAACTCTGTTTAAGGTTACTGATAATACCCAAGTGTATCCATCTATTGTGTTGTAATTTCAAGATCAAATAAGTTTAAGTCAATGTACATCCAAGTGGGATTGCTGGGTTTTTTTATTACAGTTTGAATTATGCCAGTGCCATCTGTGTCTATTCCAAGTTCAGCTGCCAAAGATCAGGATTGTTTCTCCTCAATACATAAATCCTCCCCCCAAAAAAAAAATCAGCCTCTGTAATGGAAGGGAGCTGCAGTTTGAGACTAGAGTACACAAGTAAAACACAAGTGATAAACTACACAGCATCCAGCTCTATTGTACCTAGCATTAGAAAGTGTTTCCTTACCTTCTGCTCCACACAAAGAGGAAAAAAAAAAAAAAAGGATAATACATACAAATACTGAAAAAGTGAGATTATATAAAATTTTATACAGTATCTCAACATTTGGAGCATAAAAAAGTGAGTGTGAAGTTCAAATTTAGAAGAAAGTCTTCAGTACATAGTGCCATTTAAATATGCACTTAAATTCCACTAACTTCGATAGCCCGTAAGTACGTACTTTATTGCTGTCACAAATTGGGACCAGTTGATATAATTCATCTACAGAACAAGCAGACAACTGAAATTAATATATAAATCTGAATTCTTTACTTTTCGTTGGGGGCAGAACTTCCAGGAGATGCACAGGCAAAAAAATTTCCTTAAGGGTGAAGAATTGCACAGCATGTCATTTAACTGACATTTACAGGCCTTCTTGACACCTAAGTAGCATACAGGATGAGCTTCACCCAGAATCTCCTCCTCTACAACTATTTACCATAGCCATAAATGTAATATTTTCAAAATGCAACATTTTATACAATTTCTGTTTCCCAAAACAACAATAAAAACCCCAGACTGTATGCATGAAATCTTACCTCCGATGGTATAAGTGTATCACAGGAAAATAAAAGAAATGCTTCTGCTTCCTGCATTTCCCCTGGTTCCACCAGCAATTTACAGCCACAAACAGCACCTGCAAAGCAGGTAAAAATTCACAGCTAACAAAGTACATTACTGTGACCTTCTTTATTTAACATGTATTTTTTCTAATCCATTCCACCTGCTATTTTCAGTGTCGTTTCAACTCAGTATTCCATATCTGTGCCTCTTGATTCTATCACACAAGACTTTTTATTATTATTATTAATTTTTTTTTTGTCATTTTGTAACAGCAATCCTTTTGGTCACTTTTCTTTCTAGTATTTAAGCTTCTTAATCTAAATCCTTCAAATTTACTTAGTCATAATCCGTATTAATTACTTTTTCTGCAGAGTGGAGCTCAACGAGTGGAGGTTTAGGACAGCTGTACCTGTGAGGTGTTCACAGGTAACCAACTGATAGAAAGCAGTGCTATGGCTGCAATCTTGTATCATTACCAGTGTCTCCAAGGATCCTGGAACTGGAAGCAAACTCCCTGTAATTTGTGTCTGAAGGCAGGTGAATAAATCTGAGAACACTTTACAAGAGGAAACTTGCAGAGTTCCCCATGCAGGAGCAGAAATAACAGAACTGAGCAGGAATCACAGGTTTTCTCCATTTATTCTAACACTCTGTATGTTAAATTAAAATTAAGACAACTAGCTGAGTTACCCTAAAATGTGAGCATTCAAGTCCTACTGGTTCCCATGGGATGACAGAAATTAGCATCAGCTTGGAGATTCAAAAGCTATCAGGTCATGTTTAAGATTCGTATCTTCTCTGGAGTTACCTGGCCTGACAATCTGCTGGCCACATGTTCTATTTCTTCTCTTGCTGCAATGGACTGGCCGCACCATGGCGCATAGAAGAAATACAGCACAATTTCTGAATCCTGACGAAGGTGATCTGCATAGTCTAATTGTCCCCGAAAAAGATCAATGACTGGAGATCTTGCGGAGAAAAAATTCACTGGAAGCTTTGCTGGCATTGTTACATCTTTTGCTCGGCTGCAGGAAGGAAATTAAGAGTGGTTGTTGAAACTGTACAGCAGTAGTTAAAAGAGTGTGCCCAAAGCCCTAATTTTTAATCTTAGCAAAGGTCATGCAATGACAAAACTTTAGAAATTTATGCAAATGACTACAACTTACATTATCTGAGTTAGTTTCATGAAATACCATAAAAATCTAAAGATCACCCTTAACAAGCTTTAGAAAGTCACGCTGTGATACCATGCACTATGTTTATGGGTATGTTAGCTCACACTCTTATTGCTGGTTGCTATACAGCATAAAATTACCAGGAAGAGTGATTTCTTTGGATTTCTTCCCTGGCCTCATCCTCTTTTAACACTTGTACTTTAGGTAACAGCACCCTGATAAGAGAAGAGACACTGGTCACAAAGTTTTGTGATGTGATGTTTATATAAACAGAGACTATTACCCTGCCTTACACTTTGCTTTAAAGTATCCTGCACTCCTATTCTTTTATCTTGTATTAGGAAAAAATATGTAAATATGTGTTAGTTTATTTTACTGATTAGAGCAGGGACTGCAAACTGTTCAGGGCACATTTCCTCTTCAATGTAAGGACAACATCAACAAATAGAGAGTCTCGATTTAAAGAGATTATGACAGATTAAGTTTCTTAAGAGAAATTAGTTTGACCAGTAATACCAAGAATGTAAACCAAATACTCAGGAAACCATTTTCTATCAAATCAGCAATCAAACAATCCAGAACTCGGCATTTCCAAGGTGTTCAAAAGTTGGTTATGGTATAAACTGCCTTAAATGCAAGTGAATGATCACATTCTTTTGTTTATATTCTCTTAATTCCAAAATTTTCCACTAGCTATATTTACACTAGAGCAAGTCAGATTAAAAACTGGACTGCACTACTGTAATGCTCAATTTTGCCATGGTTCCTTACGTGACAGGAAGTTTTAGGAAAGACTGTGCATTCCTTTACCTTGTATCACAATAAAAAGCTATAATACAAAAAATCTTTTCACCTGATATTTGATCCTTCTCAGGTTACAATTTTAGTAATTCTGATAAAATTATTGAGCCCCGGACACTGTCAAACTCATATGTTAAGCAACTTCCCAACAACGCTGCCACATTTTCAAACTTTAAAATCATTCTGGTTTGTAAGAAGTACCTTTGTTTTTACAATACAGACCCACAAAAGCCACAGCTGTTCTCTCCTTTCCAGGTTACTAAGCATACACTTAAAGCTCAACATTTAAGAATCACTCCCAGTATGTTTTCTAGAAGTTATGGAAATTCTTAATTCATATGTAAGAGACAATATTTACTTCAAAATCCAGAATTTTGAAAATATTAGCTGGTTCCTTATGTTTACAATTCATTAATTCCACTACTCACAAAATCATGTTTTCACACAGATGGCCAACAATCCGGTTTCTTCTGTGGACTTCTACCTTTGTTCCTTCCCTTCTCCCCCAGTCAGTAACCCAGCACCTCCTTCCCCAACCCTTAGGTTCTTATGTCACCTCACAACCAACACCTCTGGTTCCCTCCCATTCCTGCACCCCACGCTTACCCAAACTGCTAGCTTCTTCCTGTGATTTCTAACTGCCAGCTGGACAGGACACAACACTGACGTGCTACGGCTCTAACTCACAGGTCAGCGCGCACACACGCTGATTAGCTGCTGAAAGCGAAACACGGCAGCTAAGTGTTCATCTCAGACTAACACATACTTCTTCAGAGACATTAACTAGAATTTCTCCTCTTCAACTAGTTTAATGAAAATGGACAACCTAAATATGTTTAAAACCTCTGCTTCCTCTACTGAATTAAATTGAAAGTGGACAAGTGGTTCAAGAGCTACAGCGTAAGCCTTAAAAGTGAGATATGAAATTGGCTCCAAATTGCAAGAAACTGTAAAACAGATCAACAGAAGTCCCATGACATGAATGAGTCAGGAACTACGTGGCTACCTTCAAATATGAAAAAAAAACTCCAGTAATTATTAAAAAACAAAACATAATAAATCAATAGCTACCAGCTTCTTAGGCTGATTTGGTCAGTAGTGTCTCCCTCTGCAATACCAAATGCGTAACAGAGTACTTTTACATAATTCCCAGGTTTACAAAGAGAGTAGTGCTCCAAACCCCTAAAAATTATAAAAGTATAAACTGAGGATTACATAATAAATGATTATACAAACATAATAATCACATACTGTTTATTAAAACACTGATTGTGTTATTTACCTGCTGCACAGAGTCTATAAAAACTTAAACTCATTTCAACGGAACAACCTGGTAATAAAGGAAAGCACATGCAAGTGCCTGTAGGATCAGCCCCTTTGACTGCAAGGTCCTTAGAGTGGGGTTGTCTCAAAAGACATTTGCATAGAGCCAGAAATAATTCAGGTTCCAAACCACAGGCTTTCCATAATAATACATGTAAGCTATTCCTTGAGCCAATATAAACCTGCAATACCTCAAACCCCGCTAACGGATTGCCGTGTAGTAAAGGAATTTTCCCTTTCCATACTTTTTATCCATTGGTCTTGAAAGTGACGTGTTGTAAGCGTAGCGGTAGTAACTGTACTCTGGTGCTGAGACTTGTTTGCAAACCGTACTGATGTGTGGTGAGAAACTATGTACTGTAGTCATAGTTAACGTGCAATTAACCATCCTCCAAATTGCACGTGGAATTTTTACTTGAATTGCACTTGAATTTTCTATGTTCCTGACAGCAACAGAACAGGGAATATTTTTCTGATATTAGTTTGTCTATTTAACTACAATCTGAAAAGCCAAACCCTTTTAATCAAACTGTACAGAGTACAGGGTGGTGAGAAGCACATTCCATTTGTGAGCTTTCAAACAGAGCTAGCAGTAAAATGAAAGGAACATGCAGGTTTTAACTAAAGGAGAGCTGGAATAAAAGAGAAGCATCGTAATAAGTGTGGAAAAAAAAAAATTTTTTTTAGTAATGGACAGTAAAACAGGGAGGTGCTTAAGTTCAGAAATCCTTCACCATATATTCTGTAATATGGCAAGAGCTTTACACTTTCATCTAAATTATCTGGTTGCTGTGAGATACAGACTACTGGAACAGAGGCACTGCTGCTCACAGAGCAACTCATTCATAGACTTCAAATTCACTCAGATCCAAATAATACATCCTCTGTGGACAGGTGAGAAAAGGCGGCCTTGGTATTTTTCAGAAGCATTACCTGTGAATCAAGCGTTTCTTGAAATAAAAATTTGTCAGATTCTGCCAAATAGGGAAGTAATCAGATCCTTGTAGACTTCTCCCACTCCCAAAATTAAACCCCAAATGCAGTAGATGTTCTTAAATTAATATAGTATGACTTGAGGCACATAACAGTCACCTTGTCCTAAAACCCATCCAGAACATTCAGATCCCAGTTTAGGCTCCAGAAATGAGCTGCCCAGCTGCAGCACATTTCTGTGCCTACCGCGCATCACCCAACTCTCCCCGCACTTCCAGCTACAAACATCATCTGGTTCCATGCACCCATGTACACCAGGCTCTCAGCAAAGAGGAACCAAAGAAACTTTTGCAATGAAGGAAGTTCCAGCTCCCAAGAGGAGCACCACCAAACTGGGGGGAAAAAAAAACCACAAAGCATCTTTCTGTCTGAAGCAGCTGCAGGTAATGGGGGTGTCGACACTAACGCATGAGCCAGAAGAGACCCGTTTCCCCCCACTTTGTACCCCCATGCCGATGCAGCCGGCTGAGCATGCCGAGGAAAGGGTTTCAGCCCTATGCGCCCTCAGACCTTCTGTGGCAACGCGAGGTACGAGTTATTCCCTGGAGATGAGGAAAAACAGCTTTCTCAACAAAGCGCCTGTCCCTCAGGTGCGTGTGCATCCGCATACCTACCGCCACACCCCGACGCCCCCCGATGCAGGCATATGTGTCTTAAAAATACCGTCGCTTGTTCCCCACCCACGTATTAACACGGGGACCGGGGTCCTCCCCCCCTGCCCCGCTAGCCCCTGCCCGGAGCGGGTCACTGGGCCCCTTGTCCCCGCCACACCGCTAAGCTGGCGACGGGATTCCCCCACAACACGAGAACGGCCGTCGTTGCCATGGGGATCGCATGTCGTTGGGCCCCGGAGGAAGATGTCTGACGCCTACCCCAGGAACGGCCGTT